CTCCAGAATGCTGGGATTACAAGCACCAAGACCAGTTCAAATTTCTGTTTAAGTCACCCAGTCTTTACCTTTACCCACTGATCCATCTTATCAGCCTCAAAGAAACTTTTTGAAAGAAACAGGTAGGTATTAAAAGTTAATGCTAACTCCTAGTAAAAACTTTGAAACCAAATTCTATCCAACCTCCTATCTGAACAGACGAAAGGGGATAAATTCTTACACGGTTTTCCAACAGCAGCGCCTGGCTTCTCACTATCACAAGGCCTGACTGTCGTTCCTGAAGCTCTAGTCCTTGTACGACACTAGATAGTTAGTGTCCCTCTAGCCACTGCCGCCTGTCAACCTCCTTTTTATCCGACATCACTTTCCTTATACTGCTCTTACTCAAAAACTCTCTTGGGCCCCCTCACAGGGACTGCGGTGAGACTGCTTTTGACTTTCCACATCTGATCACCAGATTTACTGTCCATGAACATCCCTGTGCATGCCCTGCCCTGGCTTCTACTCACATTTTTACCAAACAAAAACACCCACCCAAGCTCCAAACAGCTATTTCATCTTTATATTGTGAGACTCTGGGCAAGATAATTACTTCCTCTGTGACTTATCTTTAAAACTTACTCCCTCCCTGCCACATAGTAACTATTCAATAAATATTATTATGGTCAATTCAAATCTCAACCTAATATTATCGTTTAGATATAGTCGAAGTGTGCTCTCCAGGAGATCAATGGCCTAAGAGCTTGGTCCCCAATGTGGCAATATTCAGAGGTAGCAGAACCTTTAAGAGGTTGGGCCTAGTGGGGAGCCTCTCCCTGTTCCCTGGCTTCCTATCTTATCATGTGATCTCTCTCCCTCCCCCATGATGCTATCTGCTATGACGTTCATTTATTCTTAAAATACATAAACACATGAGTCCACTTTTGTTTATATCCCACCATCACCCTGCTCCACTTGCACATGTCACATCCAGGTGACAATAACCTCCAGGACTGGTTCCCGTTCCTAATATTGATGCCTTCACTACCCGGTATGTTTTCTGCCTCATAGTGGGAATAAGTCTTTGAAAATCAGGGCTGGGAACGTAGCTCAGTGGTACAATGCTTACCTAGCAAGCTCAAGGCCCTAGCTTTAAATTTCAGAACTACAAAAAATGTGGGGTTTTTTTTTGGGGGGGGGGCTAAACCTTTAATAACTCCCATTATCTGTAAACTAAAGCCAGATGTGAGGGTGCCTGCCTGTAATCCCAGCTACTCAGAAGGCTGAGGCAGGCAGTACTCAGCAATAGAGCTTGCCTAGCATGCATGAAGTCTGTGTGTGCTGTGAGACTCCATCATCTGTCCCTATACCAGCCCCTGCCCTTCTGTACACTTTTCCCCACTACTATGCACTTCAGCCTCTTGTTGGTTCTTCAAATATGCTCAACTCACTGGCTGCCACTGGCTTCTACAGGCACCACTTCCTCTGCATCTACAGCGCACTCATCCCTAAACATCGACGAGGTTTATCCCTTACTCCATTCAGTCTTGGCTCATGGGTCTCCTTTCTGAGGAAGCTAAGACCCTCCAGCTGAAGCAGTCCCACCATTTCCATACTCTACCCCTCGGAAGTGCACGTCAATACCAGGCACACAGCTCTACCTGTTAATCTGGCATCTGTCTTCTACCAGGGTCCTTGAGTCTGGCATACCTAGTGCAAGGAACAAAAAGTAAGAATGCACCAGACACTCAAAATGACTGCAAGGAGGGAGACCTTTAGTTGGCCTTACAGACCAACACCGGAGTTTAGAAAAGAAATTTCTGGCAGTGCTTGAGATTTTTCTGGCAGTCAGCAACTATGTGTTGGGGGATTAAGCTATTTGAGTGCACTGGTGGAGTAGGTGTAGAGTGGTCTGAGGAGGCTGACAGGGCAAAGTGTGTGTGGTACAAGTATGAGGATTTGAACTGGATCCTCGAACCCGCGTACAAAGCTGAGTGTGGCGGTATCAGTCTGACCCCAGCACTGAGGGAGGGACAGACACTGACTGGTAGATCCTGGTGATCCACTGCTCAGCCAGTCAAGCCAATCGTTAGTTAGGCTCCAGGTTCAGTGAGAGCTGCTACCTCAAAACTGCAATGGGAATGATAAACATCCAACATCTACCTCAAGCCTCTGGACCGCTGGCATCCACATACACCGGCATGCACACCCCACACACATGCATACAACAAACAGTGCAAAGCTACAAAGTATTTCCAGCTTTAGGTTGTTTGAGACAGAGGAGATACAGCTATGGAAAGACCATGAGGACAAAACAAAGAAGACGCCTGCATCTGAGTTCTGATTCTTTCTCCAAACCAATTATTTCTAATTGTCCACCTGATACCTGTACCTGCCTGATCTTTGGGTGCCAGCAACAATTCCAGCTCTCCACCTTGGGTCCCTGTAACAGCCAATTTAACCAGAAACCATCTGCTCCCTCTCACCTGAGCCCAGACTATCTCCCAGTTTACTTCTCAGGCCTTGTGACTAGTCATGCCCTCAGTTCTCCCTGACCTCACGCCTTCCTCCTGATTACCTCAACAACCTCTCACTTCTTCTAACTCATTTTCCCCGTGGCCAAAGTGGCCATTCCAAAATACCTCCCATCTTAGACCCATCAGGGGCACCTTCAACCCCTACACAAGTGTTTAGACTCTGACAGAACTGCACCAGGTGCTCTGTAGACCAGACACTGCCTTGCCCCGTCTTCAACTCTTCCCAGCTCTACCCTGCAGTTTATTCCTTGGGCACCTTACGCAGCTTCCTCCCTTCACACTCCTGTACATGTCAGGTACACACATCCCCACCCCACACACACAGGAGCTCCTACACATACTGCCAAGTCGGAGGGCAGTTCTACCTACCCACAGGCCCTCCCTGATTATTCTGAACCTTCTATGTGTTCTTCTCTAGTGGAGTAATTGTGACCACCTCTTCTGGAAATGTCTTCCTGCAGGGGAAAGTTCCCCAGTACTTAACTCTGAGTCCCGAGCAGCTAAGTTTGCCACACAACAGAACTAAAACCATGTTTGCTAATTAAAACCACCTGTGACACTAACAGACCCGGGCCCTCTCACCTCCTAATCTTTGCTCTGACACCTCCCCACCGACTCGATACATCTACCTTGTAGGATCGGGGATGGAGAGATGGCTCAGCAGTTCAGAGTTTACTGTTCTTTAGAGGATCCCAATTCAGTTCCCAGCACCACATCAGTGACTTACAGTTGTCTGTAACTCCAGCTCCAGGGAATATGACACTCCCTTCCGGCCTCCACGAAACCATCCACATACATAGAACACACACAGGAACACACATGGGTGGGGGGAGAGCCTAAACTCACCACAGTTCCAACTGTTCACATCTCATGGTTTTTGTACTTGCTGCTCCCGTTGCCAGAAAATTTCTCTCTATTCCCATGATTTACTTTTATTTCGTTAAGGTCTCTCTTCCAATATCCCTGCCCCTTCCTCCAGTGCTAGGGATCAAAGCCAGAGCCTTGCTCATAGTAGGCAAGTGTTATACGGCTCTAGCCCTTTAAAACTAGTCCTGAACTACATTTTATGTTTATTGTTTATTTATGTGATGTCTTCCAGGCCTATATTATTAAAAACATTCATTTATTTTATATTTATTGAGCTCTACTGTATACCAGACCTAGGTCCTAGGCACTCCTGTTCTACAGGGAGAAAATAAACAATCCACAAAACAAATAAAAAACTACAGCAGTGAAGACAAGGAGTGAGGCAAGTCTTACACCCCAGATGCCCCTCTAAGAAAGGCTCCAAGTAAGAGGACAGGCAAAGCAGACATCCAACTACAAGCGCAAAGCCCTGAATCAAAGCGTGTCCAGCAGCGGCAGAGGGGGTAGCAGACAGAGAGTGTGGGTGAGATTATTAAAAGCCTTCCAGCTCACGATGGGAATCTTACTTTTGATTACTATTACTATTATTATTTATTGAAAAGACTTACTGCAGAGTTGGGGAATATGGAGATTCTTCAGACTGGATCTCACTTGTAGTCCAGGCTGACCTCAAACTTGAAATGCTCCTGCCTCAAACTCCTAAGTGCTAGGATTACAAGCATGCACACGCACATTCAGCTTGGGGGGGGGGGGGGGTTAATGATCTGGTGAGCTCTTTAGCTGCTGGGATGAAAAACAAGGCAGAAGCAGGAAGCCCAGAAGAAAAGCTACTTCAACAATGCAACTAAGAAGGGATGGTGACCCTGTTGGCAAACACTGGGTACAGACCGGGGGGAGTGGGAGACAGCCAATGGAGACTCAAAGATTATTGGGCAGACCCTTTTTATATTACTAAACAAGAGAAAATGGAACGAGGGACTAGGGATGTAGCTCAATGAAGCCTTGGAGTCTCTCCCAAGTACAAGAGGAGGAGGAAGAAGGGGAAGGAAGGAGAAAAAGTGGCAGGCAAATACTGCTAGACCTCACACACCCATCATCCCAGCACCCAGGAAACTGAGGCAGGAGGATCTAAAGTTTAAGGCAGGCCTGGGCTGCAGAGCAGAAAACCTGTCCCTCCCTCAAAAAAATAACAGATAGATAGATAGATAGATAGATAGATAGATAGATAGATAGATAGATAGATAGATAGATAGATAGGCTGAGGAGTGGGGGGGATAGAAGGGAGTTTGCTAGCTTTATCTTGCTTCAGCAAGTGATCAGACAATCTCAAGATGTTAAGTAGGCAGCTGGATAAAGGTCAGAGAGAGGAGCCTAGGCCAAAAATATAAATACAGGCTCTTAGCCTAATGCACAGGTATTTAAAGCTGGATGAGATCAGCATAAATAAAAAAAAATTAAAAATGCCCCAAACAAACGGACAGTGGGAACGAGTGGGAAAACGATGCTTGGGTATTTTTATGAAATAAACGAATGTTCCTGGTACGGTAATAGGTTTGGACTACACTGCCCCCCAGACAGAACACAAAATGTGTCCCCAAACAGAATACCAGCGCTGACCTTTGCCTGCGCCGAAAGCCATCTATGCGGGGTAGGGCTGGGAGAGGGTCTGACAGACTAAGCTGGCTTCAAACTCGCTTTGACAACGATACCATGCCCAGCATGCTGTGATCTTCTTTCAAAAGGGGCCCAGTATAACCGGGGATCCCTTACAGAAGACAGGATGCAGGGCACCCAGAGACAGGTGAGCCAACCGGAGTGGCAACCATTAGCATCAGGGCACCCAGAGACAGGTGAGCCAACCGGGGTGGCAACCATTAGCATCAGGGCACCCAGAGACAGGTGAGCCAACCGGGGTGAGAACCATTAGCATCCCGTTGGATTCTCAGTAGAGGGGACGGGAGTCGGCAGGGCTTCGCTGGGTCGACTGTACTCGAAAGAGCCATTCTCTGGAGAAGGACACCCCTCAAGGACCGCAGCCAGGCCGGCTGACGCCTGGCAGCCGCGAGCGCGGGTGGGCGTGGCGACAGCACACCAGTGAGGAGGACCACGCTCGGAAGAGCCTCGTCACAGCGCCCGGTGAGGTGTCGCCGGCCGGCGTTCCCAGCTGCCTCAAGAAAGGAAGCGCGAGCCTCGTGACTACGAACTCGGGACGGGGTTCCAGCCAGCCTCGGGGTCCTGCTTCCAGGACACGTGACCACCTGCAGCCTGCACTCCTTACCTAGCTCCGCCGCCGCCGGTCTGCCGTCCGCTCCCGGGTGCCGCACTACGCCGCCGCCGCCGCCGCCGCCGCCGCTTCTCGCGCCGCTCGCCCGCGCTTCCTGATTGGCCGCGGCGGTCAGCTCCCAGAAGCCCCCGCGCGCCGCGCCGCCAAATGAACTTTATGGAGACCCGCAAGAGAGGACACGAACATGGGCGGGGCGGGGGCGGAGCCGTCGTTGCGAGTTAGTCCAAGAAGCTCCGCCCTCCTCCCCGCCCACGTGGTTGGAGTTGACAGTACTGGAAGCAGCAGTTCCGCGGTTCCCCCGAGCTGGACAAATCCAGAGAGATCTGCCACCCACTGTAGAGTTCCAGTCAAGTGCCAGGGCTTGCTCTAGGCTCTGAGGACACGGTGCCTTCCACAGCAGACCGGATCCCTGACTTCAAGCGGTTCTCAGCCTGGCCAGGGAAACAGAATATAAGTAACTACAGGAGTTACTAGGAGAGCTAGGAACTGAAAAGCAAACTAATTGAAGAAAATGATTGGATGGCCAGGGAAGACTTCTCCTAGGTGACATTCCGACTAAAAGGTGGAAGATGAAAACACATTTCGGAGTTTTGGCAGCCTGAACAAGCTAGTCTGCGGCTGCCCACCCTAACAGGCCAGTAACAGAAAAGAGCAATGGTGAAATGCAAAAGAAAGAGAGAGATTGCTTCAGTGCGGCCACTTTAGGAAGAGGGCCAGAATGTGTTACAGGGATATATTAGGACCTTCTGGAGAGTCTGGTAGGTAGAAGAAAAAAAATCTGAAAACAGACTCAGAAGAAAACTAAAGGGCACTTTTGTTGGGAATTTGAGAGAAAAACAACAGAACAGGCAAGCTACAGATCTCAGCAACTGCTGAGAGGAGAGACCTGGAGAAGAGGGAGTTTGGAGTTAGAATTCAAAAGGGGCGGGGCGGTGGGCGGTGGTGGCACACGCCTTTAATGCCAACCCTCAGGAGGCAGAGGCAAGTGCATCTCTGAGGCCAACCTGGTCTACAGAGTGAGTTCCAGAACAGCCAGGGCTACACACAGGAAACCCTGTCTCGAAAAACCAAACCAAACCAACAAACAGACAAAAAAAAAAAAAGTAGAATTAAAAAGATCTGTAAGCAACTGTATCAAGGAAAGGACTTCTGGTGTATTTACCCCTATCTTACTAAGGGTCTAGCTACTCCTCCCGTCTTAAGATCATGATGCTAGCCTGTGTGTGTGCGTGCATGCGTGTGTGCGTGTGTGTGTGTGTGTGTGTGTGTTCTGGTGCCCAAGGGCCAAAAGAGGTCATCCCACCCCCTGGAGCTGAAGTTACAGGTGGTTATGAGACATGGTTGCTAGGGACCAAACCCAAAATGTCCTTTGCAAGAGCAGTATGCTGAGCCATTGCTTCAGCTCCCATAATACCTTTTAATTGTTAAAGAGGCAGTTTTTGGAGTGCATAGTATTGGACATGTCTAACCTTTCAGTGATGTCATAGTCATGACATAATAATAGGAACATGTGAACACAGGCCAGGACAAAGTTGTCACCATTAATAATTCTAGTTGGAAGATACCTACTTGGTAAAGTGTTATCTTAAGCTTTGCCTTATATACTTAGGGAACATAAATACAATTAACATACAAAGAAGCCCACACTAATTAGCATTATAGCTGCATAGAAGTTCTTTCTACATGCATGTGTATGTGGTAAAAAGTTGCATATGTGCAGAAGTGTGTGGGCAGGTATGTGCACGTATTTGGAGGTCAGAAGTTGGTGTAGGATGTCCTTATCACTCTCCTCATTATTTTTTGAAACAGCATCTCTCACTGAACACAGAGCTCACCAATGGGCATAAATAGTCGGTCAGTGAGCTCCAGGGTCCACCTGTCTCTGCCCCGCTCCCCTTAGAGCTAGGGTTACAGAAGCTTGCCACCACCTGGGGCTTTTACTTAGGCACTGGGGATCAAAACTTAGATTCTCACGTTTGCACAACTAACCAACTAAGTCTTCTTGCAGCCCAAAAGGTTTTATTCAATTTTTATTACATTAATTAATGTGCCGTGGTGTGTGTGTGTGTGTGTGTGTGTGTGTGTGTGTGTGTGTGTGTTCAGGTCCTTAGGCTTGGCAATAGTGTCTTTATCTGCTGAACCATCTTGCTAGCCCCAGAAATTCTGTTTTGTTTTAATTTAATGAGTATGAGTCTTTTGCATGCCTGTGTGTATGTGTTCCACATGTGTGCCAGATGCCTGCAGAGGTCAGAAGAGGGCATTGGATCCCCTGAGACTGGAATTATAGACAGTTGTGAGCCAGCATGTGGGTGCTGGGAATAGAACCTGGGTCTTCTGCAAAAGCAACAAGTGCTCTTTACCACTGAACACAACTACAGTTGTGCCCCACCAATTTTTTATTTTATAAATTAACTCAGCTTTTATTTTTCAAGCAAAATTTAGAAACTTTGGCTCTATAAGAAATGACAAAAATCAATACTTCAGACTTCTTGCCTATATAGGGAGTGGGAGTAGTGACCACAGTAGTCATTTTCTTATTCCAAGTGTGTATCGGATGTGTATAGATACCGACCAGTTTTAAATGGAGGATTGCCGAAGTGGCAACTTTTCTTCCCAATGGTACTGATCACAAATGGCATAAATGTCACATTTTTATTCACTATTGAATATATTGTAAGTCCTGGTGCAATGCATATTGTATAAAAGAAGGCATTTTGTATGTATTAGACTTGCATGCTATTAACTGTAAACTTTTGCTTAATATTTAAATAAAGTTCAGAGACATGGCTCTACGCATTTCTTTCTAGTCACAGATACATAGGGTGTTAAATGTACTAAAATTATCTTAAAATAGATGCTTATAAAATGATTATCAAAATATGAACATAAAGCTGCTTGGAGTGGTCCATGCCTTTAACCCCAGGACTTGGGAAGCAGCAGCAGGTGAAGCTCTGAGAGTTCCAGGCCAGCCTGGTCTACTGAGGGAGTTCTAGGCCAGCCTGGTCTACATAGTAAAACCCTGTCTCCAAAACAAACAAACAAAAAAAACTAACACAAACGTTATTTAAGTGGCCCTTCCCTGTATTATGTCTCTGCTTCCTGATTAGCCAAAAAGCCTGAGAAAAATAAGCAGAAACACAAATGGCTTTCTTGATAAAAATCTTTGTCCTTAAAGACAGCTTTTTTTTTTTTTTTGGTTTTTCGAGACAGGGTTTCTCTGTGTAGCTTTGCGCCTTTCCTGGAACTCGCTTTGGAGACCAGGCTGGCCTCGAACTCACAGAGATCCGCCTGGCTCTGCCTCCCGAGTGCTGGGATTAAAGGCGTGCGCCACCACCGCCCGGCTAAAGCCAGCTTTTACAAATGTTTCTAAGAGCACAACATTTTTTATTGTTTTAGACATGGTCTCACTCTACAGCCCTGGCTGGCTTGAGACTTGCTATGCACACCAGACGAACCTCCAGCCTCTGCCTCCCCTGCACCACCCAAGCTGGGATTAAAGGTGTACACAACCGAACCCAGCATAGAGCAGAATATGTTTAAGAAAGCCTGTTCCTGTGGACACAGAGAATTAGGTTCTGCTGCTACCTCAGTGCATTAGGTTTTTTTTTTTAACATTTATTTATTTTATGTATATGACTGACCTGTCTTCATGCAGACCAGAAGAGGGAATCAGATCCAATTACAGGTGGTTGTGAGCCACCATGTGGTTGCTGGGATTTGAGCTCAAGACCTCTGGATGAGCAGCCAGTGCCCTTAACCGCTGAGCCATCTCTCCAGCCCCTGCATTAGATTTTTTACCTTGGAAAAGTTCTTTAGATAAATTTATATTTTGAACTATTTCGTGAAACTTTGCATTTAGACATGGTTATTTCTTAATAAAATATTTTTATAGCTTTTTCATCAAAGTGGCTTAAAGTATTTAAGTTTATTTCTTAATTATGTATATAGGTATGTGATCTTGTAGTGCAGGTGCCTGTGAGCTGCCAGACATGGGTGCTAGGAACCAAACTCAGGTCCTCTGCAAAGAGTCTAGTAGGTTCTTAGTCACTGAGCCGGCCTCTTAGACTTTTTTTAAAAAAATATTTTTCTGTGTATAAAATGTACATGTTAATTTTAATTTTAACTCTGGGGTTGGGGGTTCCATTGGTAGAGCACTTGCCTGTCAGGCATTAAGATGTGGGGTTGACACCCAGCAGTTATCGGAGTTTTTAGGGTAAAAGCCTGGGTACAGGTTCAGTGGGGAGGAAATTCTTTCTTTACCCATTTTTGGCTCAACTGATGAAGCCTAAAAGACAGGGGAAGTTATGGCTTTGGGCAAAGGAAAGGAACCCCCAGACTAGAGTTTGAACCCTCTCACCAGCTAAAAGCAAGAATTCCGGTATAATTAGGGCCACAGAGGTGCCTAAGCAGGTCAAGTCACCTAGTGACCTAAGTTTGATTCCTGGAACCCACGTGACTGAAAGACAGACCATGCTCCCACAGGTT